TGGGATGGGGATGCGAACCCGCGACCCGCAGATTGCGAGTCGAGTGCCTTAACCACCTGGCCATGCCGGGCCCTGGGATTATCTAGTTTTATTTTTTAGGTATTCACACAAAAAGGAAACGATATAACGCTTTTAGATTTATTTCACCCTAGTGTCGCGATACTGTATTATCTCCTACAGCTTTTTAAATACATTTTTTTTTATTTGTGGGTTCATGAATTTGTTGGTTCTTAATAACAACAACAAAAGGAAACATTAAATAACTAGAGGGGCACTTAAATGAGATTTATTTAACCCTAGTGTCATGATATGGTATTGTGCCCTAGTTATACTAAAGGGCAGTCAAAAAAGCGCATACCTCCCCCACTGCAGCGTTGATCATATTCGGCTCTCAAAAAAAAATATGAAAATGTGTCCGTATGCCCGTTGTTATCAACGGACACGGCAATTTTTGGAACAACAATGAGAAATAATATTCTACATATGTCCACCAAGTTTCATCAAAAATCCGATGGTTTTTGAATGAATTATAGAGCAAAAATAGTGTGAAAAATGGGTCCCCATGTTAACAGATAGGGATTTTTTGGATTTTCGTGACCTTGACCTTCCAAAATGTAATCACTTCTAAGTGGGTCATGGTCTAAATACATACCAACTTTCGTCCAAATCCATTCAGCCGTTCTCAAGGAATCTTGCTGAAAAACACCCACGGTAGCGGAGGTAAATACCTCCAATATTGCATAGCTTTTTTAAAAAACGTCTTTCTATTCGTAGGTTCACATCCTCCGGTGGGACAGTGGTAAGTCTTTGGATTTACAACGCTAAAATCAGAGGTTCGATTCCCCTCGGTGGGCACAGCAGGTAGCCTGATGTGGCTTTGCTATGACAAACACACACACTCGTAGGTTCATGTTTTTGTTGGTCGCAGGTTCCTTAATAGCAACATTAATCAAAATATCGCAGATAACCCCATTATATGTTGCTGGGTTTCTGTATGTATTTGGCCCTCCAGTGGCACAGTCGTATGTCTGCGGACTTACAACACTAAAAACCGGGTTTCGATACCCGTGGTGGGCAGAACACAGATAGCCCATTGTGTAGCTTTGTGCATAAATTCAAACAAACAAACTGTATGTACTTTATATAGATAATTAGTTATTTCATACAACGTTTTAAATCTTTTTTTTTTCTTTTTTGATACTAAACATAGTGACAAACATAGAGCTATTTGGTTTTATGAAGTATCTGTACCCATCAGTTGTGAACGTAAGAAAAACAAGTCTGTAACTTCAAGGATACGGACAATAGTATCTAATTTCTAACTCTATTTTTATAGTAGAACCTAATACAGAAAAACGTCGAGTTATATATATACGTGCTGTGAAAGCAAAGAAACGTTTGGAGTTACCCCTTGAAGAGTGGGTAACACTTAAAGTTTTTACAATTATTTTTCTGTAATTATCATAATATTTCCCTACTGAGTTTTGTCTTTCATCTCTGTTTATTGTTAAAGGTACGATTCCTAGTGAAAATTTCAAAATTAGAAGTGTTATTTATCATATTTAATGCAAAATGCCTCAGTGGACTAAAAGTAAGCTCGAGGGCTCATAACGTTAAAATTCGGGGTTCAATAATCGTGGTAGCCACTGCGTCGAAGGCCCACTGAGCAGCTTTATGCTTAACAACAAAAAATCACGCATAAAATATTTAATCAGAAAACAAATTTTGTAAATTCAACTTTTTTTTTCAAGACGATCTATAAACAGTGATAAAATTCTCGATGATTATCTAAAAAAATACCTCGTGTTTGTATGTATGCTACATCACTGCTGTAGTCACTTTGACCAGCAACGTTTTGGGACATTATTTCAAAAATGTAGCCTGTTCCAGGATCCAACCCGTTGATGATAGCTCCAGAAGCGTTCGCTGGTAAGTAATCGCTGTAAGTAAATTCTTCGAATGATTTCTTTTTAAATCGAACCTTAAATTGCTGCTGAAAGCCTCCATCAAATCCTGGTCTCCAAGCCAACGAAACAGAGTTGTGAGTGACGTTTACCACAGAAAGACCGCTAGGTGGATCTGGCGGGCCTTAAATATATATATATATATAAACAACAAATTAAAAAAAAAACGTACTCCAGATCATCAATACTAATCAAGTTTTAGTCTTACTTATTTTTAGTGTCTCAGACTAGATATGCACTCTATAAGCATAAGTACTTGCACTAATATATGCCTATTGATAAACATTTGTAGGTGTTTCAGATATGGTGGAAAAGGTGCTCTACTATTGTAGCAAATAACAAAGAAAGATAATTAGCAACACGACTATATTAGATGACTTTAAATATTTAACTCTGAATGGTAATAACAAAACACAGGAAGAAGCCTACAAAAAACAGAAGTTAAGAATGCTGATACAAATGTGTGTTTACATCTTCTAAGTCTTCGCTTTCTCACAGAACGGTAGTAATTCTGCAGTTTGAATAAAACTCTATTTTGTTAAATTAGTTTTCGCAAAACTTGCACAGCATCCTAAACTTAAAGGGCATTTTTAACACCACACGAGTGCTACCGGAAACAACATTAGCTGTTAAATTAGTTTTCGCATAATTTGCTCAGCATCCTAAACTTAAAGGGCATTTTCAACACCACCCGCGTGCTACCGGAAACAACATTAACTGTTAAATTAGTTTTCGCATAATTTGCACAGCATCCTAAACTTAAAAGGCATTTTCAACACCACCCACGTGCTACCGGAAACAACATTCATTGATAAATTATTCTTCGCAAAATTTGCACAGAATCCCAAACTTCAAGAGCATTTTTTAACACTACCTCAGTACTACCGGAAACAACATTAACATCAAGCTTACAAACCTTTCTTTCTTAATTGAATTCTTATACCGGTTTTTCCCATTTCATTTCTGGCCATGCATTCGTAGATTCCGAATTCGCTTGGCTCGATGTCGTTGATAAATAGCGTACTCTCCCACAGAACACCTCCTATATTGACATCTTGTTGAGAAAACTTCAATGTGCCGAAGCCTTCTTCTTCTGGAATGAATCGACCATCTCTTGACCAAGCGAAGCTAACGTTCGGAGCTGCCTGTGCCTGACACGAGAGACGTGAAGCTTTTCCTTCTTCTCCGGCAACTTGTAAGTTAATTAGCGACTTCTGAATGACAGGCTTAACTAAAATAAACAGATAAATGTATAAATAATTCGGCCACACTCTGGCTTAGAAAACAGAAATTACATTTATGCTTTTATTCGTTATGAAATAAATAACGTCAGAGGTACAACAATTGTAAAAACTCGTGACGACTGAATATGAAAATATAATAATGCTTTATTAAAAACATGTTTTTTTATGCAGAAACCGATACCTTTTTCTTTATGCCTCGATATCTCCTTGATAATAACTAGGTGTACTCACACAGAGTCCCCGAAAGAGTTCTGTTTCAAGAGTAAATAATACTACAATTCAGAGTAACAACTATTTTTATTTCTTGCTTTTGAAATTCATATGTCATGCTGTGTTGTAGCCTACAGAGTGCATAATTCTTCTCGTGATTCATGGCATGCGCACATTTTACTGATGCCACGACAGTATAAATTGCAACATTGAGCGTCCCTTATGTAACGTCATTTTAGTGTCTACTGACTGACTGACAGACAACACATTACTGTATAATGGTACGAGTGGTTAATACAGGTGACCTCTCCGGGCGGCCTTATGTCCCCTGTCGGTGAAATAACTCATTTTACCACTTTAGTATGAGCCAGAAATATACTTCTTCAACCAACTACACACACACACTCGTCTACAACATGCTTTGAAATTATGGCAAATTTAGCGAACTTTGAAAAAATGTCCTGTTATCTATAAATAGAGAAGAAAATCCGTAAACTTCAAATTGCAAACACAAATAATGTGTTTAATGGTCTCGAGGTAAAGTTTTTCAGATAACAACAAATTGACGATTGTAGTATGACACCATAATTTTGTATCAAATTCTAGATGGCGTTTCAAACCAGTTCTAACTTAGCGAAACTGTTTGTTTGTTTGTTATGGAATTCGCGCAAAGCTACACGAGGGCTATCTGCGCTAGCCGTCCCTAATTTTGCAGTGTAAGACTAGAGGGAAGGCAGCTAGTAATCACCACCCACCGCCAACTCTTGAGCTACTCTTTTACCAACGAATAGTGGGATTGACCGTCACATTATAACGCCCCCACGGCTGAAAGAGCGAGCCTGTTTGGTGTGACGGGGATTCGAACCCGCGACCCGCAGATTGCGAGTCGAGCGCCCCAACCACCTGGCCATGTCGGGCCTAGCGAAACTGAGATATGATTTATTTGCATTCTGGGAAGCACTTCTCTGTATGACACTGCTACCGACGAGGTACTTAAGTAATATAAAAGCACAGTTAGTGGAAATAATGCTTATTAACAAGCAGAATAATAAATGTTTGTAGGAGTTGTGAGGACGAGAAATCATAGGATAATTAATCACAATGTTTATAACAAAGATTATGTCTACAACATCTTCCAAGAAGGTTGCAATCTGCAAATAGTTGTATGCTATTACACTGGAAGTAAACGTTTCGTGTCTAAGATGTACTTGTTGCAATCTGCAAATAGTTGTATGCTATTACACTGGAAGTAAACGTTTCGTGTCTAAGATGTACTTGTTGCAATCTGCAAATAGTTGTATGCTATTACACTGGAAGTAAACGTTTCGTGTCTAAGATGTACTTGTTGCAATCTGCAAATAGTTGTATGTTATTACACTGGAAGTAAACGTTTCGTGTCTAAGATGTACTTGTTATCATGCAATTGTTTCTAAGATGTACTTCTTAGCCTGCATCTGCTTTTAGGATGTACTTTCTAGGATGCAGCTACTTCAAGGATGTATTTCTTAGCATGTAATTATTTCAAGTATGTAATTCTTAGCATGCAACTGTTTCTAAGATGTAATTCTTAGCATGCAACTGTTTCTAAGATGTATTTCTTAGCATGTAATTATTTCAAGTATGTAATTCTTAGCATGCAACTGTTTCTAAGATGTAATTCTTAGCATGCAACTGTTTCTAAGATGTATTTCTTAGCATGTAATTATTTCAAGTATGTAATTCCTAGCATGTAATTATTTCAAGTATGTAATTCCTAGCATGCAACTGTTTCTAAGATGTATTTCTTAGCATGTAATTATTTCAAGTATGTAATTCCTAGCATGCAACTGTTTCTAAGATGTATTTCTTAGCATGTAATTATTTCAAGTATGTAATTCCTAGCATGCAACTGTTTCTAAGATGTATTTCTTAGCATGTAATTATTTCAAGTATGTAATTCCTAGCATGCAACTGTTTCTAAGATGTATTTCTTTTAATGCAACTATTTTCCAAATATATTTTTTGTAAAACCACATTTGTATTTTCGGTAATGTGTTCAAGCATTTCCAATCTTCGAAACGATGATAATTTTCTGTTGTGTACTTAAATAAGTTATGATTTCTAAGTCGGTTGCTTATTGAGGTATCTGTAGTCGTTGGACTAAAAATGATCCATTGCCTTCGTAGCTAAGAATGCATTTCTTATTAACTAACCATTTCAATTATCAGTCATCTTATAACTATATTCCTGGAAGACTCTTTCCGATGAAGTCGAAATGACGAAACATACAGCAATGAAATTTTGTATTAATGAGAGTGGTAAAGTAGGTTTATCTGGCTAAAGTAAGTATTTTTTATAATTTGTCTAATAAAAAGTAACATACTTCATGGCTAAAAAATATAGTATCTATCATGTTTAAAAAGTAGCACCTATCATGGTTAAAAAATATAGTATCTATCATGTTTAACAAGTAGCTCCTATCATGGTTAAAGATATAGCATCTACCATGTTTAAAAAGTAGCATCTATCATGGTTAAAAAATATAGTATCTATCATGTTTAACAAGTAGCTCCTATCATGGTTAAAGATATAGCATCTACCATGTTTAAAAAGTAGCACCTATCATGGTTAAAAATATAGCATCTACCATGTTTAAAAAGTAGCATCTATCATGGTTAAAAAGTAATATACTTTATGGTTAAAACTAGCATCTATCATGTTTAAAAAGTAGCATCTATCATGGTTAAAAAGTAGCATCTATCATGTTTAAAAATTAACATCCATCATGGTTAAAAGTAATATACTTTATGGTTAAAAAGTAGCATATATCATGTTTAAAAAGTAATATACTTCATGAATAAAAATAGCATCTATCGTGTTTAAAAAGTAGCATTTATCATGGTTAAAAATTAGCATCCATTATGGTTAAAAATTAGCATCCATCATGGTTAAAAAGTAATATACTTCATGGTTAAAACTAGCATCTATCATGTTTAAAAAGTAGCATCTATCATGGTTAAAAAGTAGCATCTATCATGTTTAAAAATTAACACCCATCATGGTTAAAAATTAGCATCCATCATAGTTAAAAAGTAATATACTTTATGGTTAAAAAGTAGCATATATCATGTTTAAAAAATAACATACTTCATGGGTAAAAAATAGCATCCATCATGGTTAAAAAATAGCATCTATCATGATTAAAAAGTAGCATCCATCGTGGTTAAAAAGTAGCATATATTATTGTTAAAAAGTAACTATGAAGTTGAAAAGTATGTTTAATTTATAAAGATTGCAAAATCATGATGCTTTAAGTGGAAGGAATGCAGTGTGTATCACTGTCCTAGTATTTAACAATTAACAGTTTTGACTAATGTAAATTTCCGTCTCTCTAGAAGAATGTTGAGGAAGTTCCACTCAGAAAATTATACTTGCAAATAACGAGGAAATGAGATGATTAAATAGATAGTGGTTTATGTTGCAAAGGCCTAAAATGCACTCACGACTCACACTTGACAACAAGCAGAACACGAGCCGTAGATTCCTCGCCAATACCGTTGTAAGACACGCATTCAAATTCACCGGCGTCCTCCTTGGAAACGTTCAAAACGGTAAGAAACGAACGCCCCTTTTCGGAGATGACTTGCATTCTCTTTCTTTCAAATCCTGGTCGATTCCAGCGGATGGTGTCTTCTCTCAAAGGATTTCCTGTAGCCTCACACTGGAAATGGGCATCATCTCCCTCACTCACGTAGGTAGGAGGATTTACTCTCGTCACGGATGCTTCGTCTAAAAAACAAAACACATGCTCTCTAAGTATGATTAGTAACTTTATAATAATGTTTCTGATCAGGCCTCGCACACCACGCGAATACTGATCACGCTTACAGAATCTCTCGTCTTCCAGCTTTCTTTGTTTTTCAAGACTCGTGATTACTGAATGGCATCTAGAAAATGGGTGTGGTTTGATAATTTGAAAATTATTAATTTAATGAAGATACTTCTGAAGATGATCAAATCAATGTTTTATGAGTCATCAATATCTTTGATTATGATACACATTGAGTACAGTTGTATTGTTATATGTGTAACTGGAACTAGTATACATTAAAGTTATTGTTCTGTCTGTGTGTATCTGACGAGGATACGCATTGAGTACAGAAGTACTGTTGTATGTGTAACGGGACCTAGCATACATTAAATTTATTGTTCTGTCTGTGTGTATCTGATACAGATACACATTGAGTACAGAAGTACTGTTGTATGTGTAGCGGGACCTAGCACACATTAAATTTATTGTTGTGTGTGCATCTGACACAGATACACATTGAGTACAGAAGTATTGTTGAATGTGTAATTAATCTGACTCATATGTTTCTATCTGAGATTGATACACAATGAATATCGTTGTATGTGTAACTAGGTCAGACTCATATTATATGTTATATTTTTATCCGACAAATATACATAATTATTATTAAATATCATTATACCTATAACTAGATATAATTCACTATGATTTTTAAATTACAATGACACTAATTAATATTTTTAAATGTATAACCACGTTCGACAAACATTAAACGCTGCTGTATACTTTCCCAAGTCCATCGCATTTGGAATATTTCGCATGCAAAATTGTGTGACACTGCGCATGCGTAGCAAGGAAATCGAAGATAACAATGCCTTTGTCGTAAGAAATCAAACAAACAACAGCGATTACATCAATTTAAAGATTGATATTTTGATCGAACTAGTGTTACTAAATGCCTCTAAAATAATTTACGAATACATTTTATTCTGATCACATAAACGGTGAAACCGTTATGCCAACCTGAAACCGTTATGTCATTAATTTCATTTATACATTGAAGTTCATTGATGCAAGCGTATCTGCAGACTGATGGTTAAATTTTACTATTCCATTAGAGTCTGTCACTTGAAAATTAGGACGGCTAGAGCAGTTAGCCCTAGAGACGACTAGCAGGTAATTCTAGGGATGGTTAGCAGGTAACCCTAGGGACGACTAGCAGGTAGCCTTAGGGATGGCTAGTGCAGGTAACCCTAGAGACGGCTAGCAGGTAACCCTAGGGATGGCTAGCAGGTAGCCCTGGGGACGACTAGCAGGTAGCCCTAGGGATGGCTAGCGCAGGTAACCCTAGAGACGGCCTGTAGGTAACCCTAGGGATGGCTAGCAGGTAGCCCTAGGGACGTACAGCAGGTAGTCCTAGGGACGGCTAGCTAGTTTGAAGTCACGTAAATAAGATATTTGTTCTTCCTGAAATTTAGTTTAAAAGATGGAACAGCCGAGATGGACCAAAACGTTATGTTATGATTTGGGAAGTATTATGAGTATCAATAACTGAGAACTCACTAGACAATTATCCAAACATTGCCAAGTTGCATCATGAAACGCCCAGTATCTTGACCAAGGACATACTTTACGTAGTTCTTGTGTACTAGATGTGCTTCTGCAGGGTCCCCGAAAGAGTTCTGTTTCAACCGTAAATAAAACCCAAATTAAGAGTAACAGCTATTTTTATTTCTTGCTTTTGAAGTTTGTATGGTATGCCGTGTTGTAGTCTACGGAGTGCAAAATTCTTCTCGTGATTCATGGCATGCGCACGTTTTACTGACGTCACGACAGTATAAATTGCAACGTTGAGCGTACCTTTTGTGAAGTAATTTTAGTGTCTAATCACTGACTGACAGATAATGCAGTACTTTATAGCGGTGCGAGTGGTTAAAACAGGTGATCTCTCCAGGCGGCCTTCGGCCCCCTTTCGGGGAAATTATCAGACTTATATATTATGCAATATTATTTTTTATACAATGAAGAAGTCGTTATCTGCTACAGCTGGTGCGACTTACACAAGACGTTGATTAGGACAACTCTCCTGGTGGTGCCTTGAGAATTGGAAGCCTCACATACATATTGCCCACCAAAGTTCCTTGACACTTCAGCAATTTCCAAGACTGGACCTCTTGAAACTACTCGATGGGTGGTTATTCGTTTCGTTTCCCAGACATGACTGTCCGAAACGTCTAACACAGGTTCACCGTCTCGAATCCAGGTATAGTCAATAATTGGTGGATTTCCTATTGCTGAGACGTTAAACGATCCTGATTCACCCTCCACAGCGTCAAACTTTTCCATTTCTGCAACTAAGAATTCTGGTTTATCTAGACGGGAGGAAAAAAAACAACAACAAAATAAACACAGATAGTTAGTTGGAAATACACAAAATCAAAATCATAAATAATATTCAAGGTTAAACTGGTACACAATTAAAAACATTTTATTTAGGCCTATCTATGACCTTCAAAAACTTGACGACTCTACATGTTTCGACGTTACAACGTCATCCTCAGGAGTCACGTCACGTTCTAACGTCGAAATATGTAGAGTTGTCAACTTTTTGAAGGTCATAGATAGGCCTAAATAAAATGTTTCTTATTGTGTACCAGTTTAACGTTGAATATTATTTATGATTTGAACTTTATACACTAGTGCCAAAATACTATAACTACACAAAATCAGTTTTGAGAAAGTGTGACATTAATATTTCAAAATATTTTTTTTCATCATGGCTCCTCGAGACTAGAAGAAACTGCGCTAAAAATTTAACTAACGATGATTTAACCTTGAGTGGCACTCAAAATATTTTAAGTTGTCGTGCCAGGCGAGGCCTAGTGCATAGAATGTAGGATTGGAGATTTAACGATACAAGGTTCGAGACGTGATACCGCTGAACACATTTTCCTCTCTCACCTCTGAACACATTATGAAAAAGTGACAGTCAATCGTAAGCGGCAGGTGTCGCTGATTGGTTGCCCTCCTTCTGGGCAGCAGATATGGTTGTATAATCCATGTGTTGCACCTGGTAGCGTTCAGTTTGTTTAGTTCTTGTGTCGCACTAATACCAAGTGCTATTAGCGATAATTAGCTTTTAATATTTTTTTGAGTAAAAAATGGATCCGAAAAGGAATAGTTAAGAAAAAAACTTTTTATTTTGTTTGATTGAATGTATAATATTTACCATTGGTATATTTGTTAAACGCAAGCTGAAATATCCGTCAACTGATGGGGAATGTTTAAACTTAATTAAAACAACGTAAGTTAAACAACAATCATATATTTCAAAGAAATAACTTGAACATAAACTTTATCTCAACATTTTTAATTGATAACAAAGTTTCTTCACAAACAGTTTGCTTTCCATCTACCAACAAATAAAGATTTTGAGGAGATCCCACCTGTGAACACCCTACATCTCATTGACCACGAGAAAAGCATGGTTGTTTGAGAAACAATCCAGCAACTTTCATACTTTGACCTTGAACCCCTTTAGAATATTCAACATTGTCTAAGGCGTCAACCTGCCAAGATTGTTTAAGATTGACTCAATAGGCTGGGAGAAACCAACCAACAGGCTTTACAAAATATAATTAGGGTTAACTTCAATTTTGACTCCCTTAGGACATTTCCCATAGTTCATAGTGTTCACATACAAATTTTGGTTGATATTGGCCTGATAGGCTCGGAGGAATTAGGGTGCAAACAAACACACATTTCGTCTTTATATAGATTTAATTCATTCTCGACTGGCTAATAACATGCATGGCACAGAATTTTACTGGATTGTTATGTGTTTTTTTACACGCTGACACACAAATATTTGTTAAAGTTGTGCTACATAATGTAGGCTATCTATTAGTGCAGGGTTGTTTTTCTGAAAACTACGCAACCGTCAATAACGCAAGTGAAATTGAATTATGTTTGTACATCGAAAAGCAAATTTCGTAACATTGGTTGCGCATGCGTAAGGAAAGCATCCATTTTCCTCAACAGAAAAACTCCCAGAGAATACTTAATTCGATTTATCATTACAGAACATAGCAGAAGATCGAATGAAAATAGAGTGAACAATTTTAACGAGATAAAAATGACGTAAATAACATCTTATTTTTTGGGGGAAAAATGTGGGCTTGGAAACCAGCAAAACAGGATATTAGAGAGGAAAAATCGTACTTGCCGAAAATGTTATTTTTTTATTTTTCGTTCACAAAGTACAAAACGGTATCTTATATAAATCAGAGATTAAACAAAAATTAACACAGAAAACGTATTTCATGAGTACGTTAAAAAATTATATTAAGAAAACTAAAACTTAAGCGCTACTACTAAACTTTATTCTAAGCAAAATTGAAACCTAACCGTTACTCTTTCTAGGGCGCTGGAACCGGTGGAGCATTTGCCCCATCAATAATTGGTCCGGAAAATGTTTTTTCTATATCCTATTTTGAATAATTTTGTTACTGAACGATGATGTGCTTCACTATTGTAACTGTTATGTTAGTTTTAAGCCAAGTGATGGCGCAGAGGCTGGTCTTTGCTAATTTGTATTTTGTGTGTGTGTGTGTGCTCATTGTAAGCCTAATATTAGATAAATCGCTATGAAGTTGATAGACGCACAACTGTATAGACTGATACACGCGTAGAATATTTATATTTAAGTACATAAATATAGTTTCCTGGTCTTGTTACGTTTTCATTGGTCCCTACCAACCTGTTGTTAGATGCTTGTAGTTTCTTATTACGCCGAAGTTTATAACCATTTGTATCGCATATGGAAATAGACAACAAGCATGCGCAGTATAATTTTTATTTGACAAATGTAATACTTGAGTAAATTCACTTTTCACTGGGCCTAGCATTGTCTGGTGGTTACGGCGCTTGCAATCTAAGGTTCATGGGATCTAAACATGGACGCATTATGTTCAACAACATTGTAATAAATTCACGCATATAATAATGTTAATGGCACGAATATGTAAATTCATATTTATTTTGGCAATGAAAATATGTACTATTTTATTTTTTTTTTTACTTTTACATTGAAAGTAAACAGCAAAAGTAGTATTTTTTTCAATGATAGTTTTGATGTTATAGTAGTGTTACATCTCTGGTCGTTTGTTAATTTCCCGTATAATTTCTTTGGATGAAACTTTTGCGATACAATTCCTTTCTTAAAGAAAACTAGTTTATTCTTTCTCAATACAACTTTGCAATACACTTAATTTCCACAGTCACTTTAACTTCAACTCACGTTATAATTCACAACGATTCACGCACTTTACTTACGGTTGCTACCGTGCTTGACTCACTTGTCCGTCTCTGTCTCTGCCTGTCTGCAATTCATTTAATTATCTCGCTTCATTTGCCTGTTTATATACTAAAACAGAGGGCGCGTAGAAAAGACTAGAGTTGCCAGGAAGAGACATGATCCTTCTAGAAACTCCAGGGCGCATGCTTCCAGCGTCGCGTGACTTCCGCTATCGTAACAGTAGTTACAGAAATTTTCTTCGTTTTGTTTTTGAAGGTTAAGAATATTTCATTCTAACTTTCACAATTTTTACGAAATTAATAGATGAAATTTTGAACGTAAACAGTACATAACGGTCCAGACCTTGTTTCGGACCTACTGGCAAGAGCTAGAGCAGCCATTCAGCCGCTACAAAGGCTTTTATATATATATCTAAACCGAATAACTTGGTTGAATGTCATTTATGCAATGCACCATGTCTCCAACTTTAGACCTTTGATCCGCAACCCAATAACAAGGCCACGTCTGGTCCTGAACGGATGGAAACTTATGTTTAATTAAGAATTACAGATGGAAAACAATTTGCTTTCAAGAAAATTGACAAACACATTTAAATTAATAAGCAATGTATTAAATAAACCAGTGTTTTTGTTTTAAATATATACCAAATCCTTCAACTATTATACACACACACATATATATATATATACATACATTTACAAGGAGTATGATGATGTTTGAATGCTTGTTTGTTTGTTATGTAATTTGGCGCAAAGCTACACGAGGGCTATCTGCGCTAACCGTCCCTAATTTAGCAGTGTAAGACTAAAGGGAAGGCAGCTAGTCATCACCACCCACCGCTAACTCTTGAGCTATCCTTTTACCAACGAATAGTTGGATTGACGGTCACATTATAACGCCCCCTAGGCTGAAAGGGGACGATGGGACGGGAATTCAAACCAGCGACCCTCAAATTGCGAGTCGAGCTCCCTCACCACCTGGCCATGCCGGGCCTGTTTAAATGCATTCTGGTCTGCACGTAAATTGAATTGATAAAAAAATGCTGTTAAAATTTATTTTGATTATCGAAGCAACTAACTTGGCTTAATCGGCTCGGCCTTAAGATTTTTCAGAGCTTCAAATAAAGCTTGTAGATTTCATTACACTCCTTGGAGGTTTAAAGTAATTCTGCGAATCTAGCCGCATCCTATAGAGTTGAATTACATACATCTATTACAAGTTTGTGTTTCAGAGACTTGCCGTTATGGAAGTTGCCACTCGTCGAGTAATCGATAAATCTAGAACTATCATGACTTTCACGCGCCATAAGCCAACTGATGGTGATGAGTGTTCGATTTTTAAGATATACTTCAATAAGTGTTTTCTTCTTTCTTCTATGGATTTATATGTTACAATGTCTGAATTTTTTGACAAAAAATAGAGCTCTAACTACTGTATTCAATTTATAAAGATGGGGTTGGTAAGGTTGAGGGAAGCAGAAACGCGTATTTTAACGGTCTTGAGCAATCTTTCTAGTTTTTATGTACATTTCATTGAAT